GTGCTGCTCTATTTGCTGGGTGCCGAAGGTGGGAGCGGGTCCGGGGGAGCTAAGATGCCGGCGGAGCGGCAGCGCTGGGAGACCCTGGAGGCGCTGAAGTGCTCCAGCAAAGGGCAGCTGAGCTACTGCCCTGACTGGCCGCGGGGCGAGGTGAGCGCGGGGCGCCCGGGTCGGGGTAGGGACGAGCCGGGTCTGTGGCTGCGACCCGCCCGGGGCCGGGCTGGGGGAGGGTCGCCCTCCCGAGGCATAGCCTGCACTCCCCGCCTGGCTCGGGGGCTCCTGGCAGAGGCGAGCGCCCTGGTGCTACCGCCGGCCTCCGTGTTCATCACCTCTGACTCCCTCTCTCCCCTTCCTCACTCAGCAAAGTAGTTGGTAGCTTGCGGGCGAAGGCCACATCAGCGTTATCAGTGCGCAGCCCCTCTCGGCTCTGCTCTCTGAAAGCCCCCCGGGTTTCACGTGAAGATCCCCTCACCGAGCAGAGCTTCTGTTGCTCCCGGCTGTCTCTCCAATCTTGGTGTTGCCGAAAACCTGCATAAAATGTCAAGGCTTTGCACCTGGCTTCACTTGAAAGCGGTTAAGGATGCGAGCCACTTTTTTTTGTTTTTAACCGCCAAATGAGACTGGTTGTGGGGCTTCGTATCTGGTTGTGGGAGGCTTGTTTTCGTTGGTGGGTGTTGGATGAGAGGAAGATTACCGGGGTCAAAAAGAGAAACCCCCTCAGACTTGGATGGGGGGAGCGGTGATCTTTCCAAAACATTGTTACTGCGCATCTGGTTCCCCACGGCTAGGTGCTCGGTAAATCCTCTGTCAACATGAGCCAAAACCTACTGTCAGTCCCTCGTTTGGGATGCTTGGGATGATTTTGTGTCTGCCTGCGTCATGTCCAGTTTGGCTCTAAGAACAACTCCTACCCCACAGGCCTGATGTTTCCGTAACAGCTTTCTTCTGGCTCTTTCCATAAACATTCTGAAATTTCTTTGGTTTCGGACTAGATTTGGATGCCCCAAATATACCAAATGTTTTTGAAATGGAGGAAATTTTTAGTCTCTGTTCTGAAAAAAACTTCACTGATCAAAAAGACAAAGATGAAGGATGGGGAAAGGAGTATGACATATGCTCAAGGCAATCAGGGTAGTGATAGGTATCTAGTTTATTAGTTAACTGGTGCCCTTATTCTAATGAACTATGCTACATTAATTTCTGCCACTCACTACTTTTTCTATTCTGTCATAACAATACTTGAATTCAGTTCTGCTGACTTTATGCCTATCTTCCACAATATTCAAGACTTGCCTCTGTATACATCACCGTGTAAGTCTTGGGATAAGTGAAATAAACAGCAAAATGATGTAGTCAGCTAGCTTGTTGGTGTTATGGAAGAAGTGGATCCCAGGTTGGGGATATAACTGGAAGTATAAGTGGCTTTGTGGGCCTTCTTAGAAGGTGGTTCTATGAAGAATAGCACCAAGGAAGAAAATATGGATAAATTTATAGAATTAGTTAAAAGGAACATGGAATTGGCTTATTAGCTAAGGTAGCAGTATTTGCACAGAGAAACATCATGAGTGAGACCTGCATGAGTAGTTCTCCTTTTGTGTTGAACTGTTGAGTTTTGCAGGTTACTTAGAAATTCTTCCATTAGGATGTAAAATACTCTTTCTTTCTCTCTCCCCCAGGATATTTTGGAAGGATGCAAGCCCCCTCTGAAGCTGTCTTCTTATTCTGGCTGGGTTCTGGCTCGAGTGAATGCCCAGTCTATACAGGAAACTCCTGTCTCCAGAAGTTCTACGCCTAATGAATCCACTCCCCAGAAAGACCAGCTGTCCTCTCTTGTAAAAACTGCTTCTCCTGCCAGCCAGCTAGGCTCCTCTCCACTTTCATCTCCGGCACTGAGTGAAACAAAGGTAGTTAAAGACAGCCTGTGTATGTAAGCTGCTTATGAAAGGAGCATGGCAACCTGTGCCTTAGCGTGTCTTATCAAAGATGGGGTGATGGTCTTGTAACACTACTCTGTTAGTTTGTGGGAATGCTTAGAGATCAGGGCCTTGTCCATACTTACCCCATCATCACAAGGTCTGGTGTCTGATAGCAGTTGCCACTGCCAAGTCACTGGAGCATAAGTGCATCTAGTGTCTCAGTGTGACCTCCCTCAGCATCTATGCTACCAGAGCTGGAAGTACACCCTGGGATGGCACCAGATGCTGTGGGCAGGGGTGGGCAGTTATTTTGGCTGGAGAGCCACTTAATGAGTTCTGGTGAGCTGTTGAGAAGCTCGCACACAAATCTTTTGGAAGAGATTTTAACAAATTATAGATTACAAAAACCCAAAAAACAATTGCATACTCAAAATCAAACATTTACTGTAACACACTTTAATTTTATTTCAAACATATTTTTGTCCTGACTTGTTTTTGAGTAGTATATGTAGAGATGATCGCAAAATAACTCTAAATAAAGTCTTGCTCTTGTACGTGTGTGGGCGTGGAGGAGTGGGTATGTGGAGAGGTTGTGCTTGTGTTGGGGGTCATCTGCATGCTAGGTCCCTGGAGCTGGCGGGAGAGGGGAGATCTCACCCAGGTGGTGCGGTGCAGGGGTGAACTGCCCCCCACCATCCAGGGGCTGAGCCCCACGTGCCAGTGGCCCTGGCCTCAGCTAGCATGCACAATGAGCAGCCACCTGCTGTGGCCAAGTGGCTGAAAAGTGGGTGGGCATTGAAGTTGGAGCCTCGCGTGTTGGGGCAGGAGATGCCTGGCTGCAGGTTCCCCCTAGCCTGGGTAGGTGTGTGGTGCCCAGCACATGTACCCATGGCCGCCACCGCTTCCCTGTACTACCTGCGGCCTGGAGCAGCACAGGAGGAGGAGGGGGAGGAGCTGCTGAAGTCCAAAAACAAGGGAAAACTGAGCGCTGGCATTTTACAGCTACTGGACTATGCTGTATCATTAAAATACTGGCTTACAGCTTCATACTTTGGTTACATTTCATGCTTTGCCAGGGTCTTTCTATGTGACTGTGGCCAGATCACTTACTTCAGTTCCTCATCTGTAAAATGGAGATAACTGCAGTTTCTTATCTCAGAGAGGTGTTATGAAAAGAAATACTTTTATGTCTTCATAACTATAGTTTCTCAGTGTTTAAAGTACTCAAGACAGAGACACTGTGGTCTGCCTTGATGCCTTTTGACTTTTATAGTGCTTGCTATGTTGTTTGGAGAAATGTCCTTGATTTACCTGATTTTCTGCATAACTGTCTTCTCTGTCAGTCACTGATTTTGTTCATCTACCATTCACATAGACCGATGAGAATGTTAATCTGCTGGAGACTAGCTACAAAGCCTGTCCTGTGGTGTTGCCATCTAAAGTTACAGAGATAGAAGGCTGCATACGGATGTATGAGGAGGTTCACAGATTAAAAGGAAAGGTAACAAATGATTTTGGTGGACTGAGGTACTATGTTACCAGGTGTGGTGATCTAGTAAAATACTGAGAGAGTTTTCTATGGATTTAGGATGATCCTAATTGAAAATATAACTGTAGTACTTTTGATCTTGTTCATGTTATTTCACCTTCATTGCCTTGTACATGGATTAGAGTAGTTATCTGTATCATAGCTGCTGTCTCTGTCAAAGGCTCTAACATGGCTGTTTTATGTGGAATTTCCCCCCTTCTGACTCCCCAGAGATTTCCTTGCTTGAGAAGTCAGCAGAGTTTTGTTCAAAATGTACAATACATGATTTGCTTGTCCTCTCTCCTTGAAATCTGCAGGAGGGTCTCAGACAGCGGCAGGAGCAGCAAGAGCAGTTGGCAAAGGCAGTCTCTGACATGGCAAATGAACAGCTGAAGCGCTTTGATGAGCTGAAGGAGTTAAAACAGCATCAGGAATACCAGGACCTGCAGGAAGTGATGGAGAAAAGGTGAGGTTGGCCTTTTAGTATGTGATCTCCTAGCAAGGCAGCAGCTAAGTTGGGACTGACTAAATCAAGTGTCTGATCTGCAGAAAGGCAAGGTTCTTTGAGTAGATGTGATATCTTTTATTAGACCAACTGAGTAGTTGGAAAAAAGTTCTTAGCAAGCCTTTGGGTGCAGTCACTCTTCTTCAGGCATAGGGAATCTCTGCTGTTCTGAGACTCCAAGAAATGAAAGAAGCTAAAAGTGTGGCGGGATGTCAGTGAGAATGTAAATAGGTAGAAATTAGAAAGACGGAAGAGCAGGCGGGGGAAAAAGACTAAAGGGAGACATAACGGTGATAGAAGGTAGAAAAGAGGCTGTTTAGTGAAAAAGAAAATAGCTGAAGATCAGGAAAACAAGGAAGAGAGAAGCTACAAGCATGAGAGAATGTAGTGAAAATATAAATAGGTAAAAAGGACAAAAACAAATTATTGGGTATCTGTTCATTCAGTAAGCAAAATCCATCCTGTACAATATGAATAACCAGGGTCTTTGTGGCAAAAGTAGAATGTCATCATGTTGTTTAAAGACTGTGTCCAGCATGTCAAAATAATGTTGCCCAGCCAACCTGAATGCCAGCACTTTTTAACGTTTGAGTGCTTGACTTTGCAGATACTTTAAAATATGTTAAAAGAGAATTACTGTATGTAATAGCTACATAAGAATGGGCAGCTAGGGTGTTCTGTGGAACAGTAAGATTGGAATACTGGACTTTGTGCATTTAAAATTTTGTATAAAATGGTCTTTTGGGCAAAAATAAACTAAGATGGATTGCAGACTAGATAAGAACTTGTACAGCTATTTTTTACCATGTGAAGCAGCACCTATAGTGTGCAGCAGTAGTGCAGTGTGGATAGTAAATGCTGTTGTACTGAATATGCACTTTCCCTTTTTGAAGTATGTATCTCTTGGGACTTGAGCAAGGACCCCAGGCTGATCATCTCATGAAGAAAATGCCGCATGAGTTTTTGGGGTTCTTTTGTTGTTTAAGACATTGGCTGTTCTGCAGCTGCTTGCCTGTTAGGGTTATTCTCATGCTTTTCCAGCTTTGAGTGGGTGGGATAAAAGAGACTGTCCATCTGACTGAAGTCTCCATTAAAGTAGCATGTCCATATGCTGTTTGTACTCCATCCTGATCATGTCTTGGGAGGAGATGTTTCAAAGAACAGAATACTTGCTCACTTCACCCCTCCTGTATTTAAGCTCCAAGGAAGCTCAAGGACAGCAGGAGAAGTTGAAAGAGGAGCATCGACACAGAGCAAAGGTTTGAGCCTGGGAAGGGTGCTGTTGTTGTGAGAGGAGATGGTTGGCCTGTTCACTGAGATTTAGGAATTCACACAATAACTGCTTCAGTAATGCCTCTTACAGTGGGTAGATGGAGTGAAAATGCATTTTCTAATGTTGCCCCTTTCACCAGCTAAACCCCTGTGGCAATGGAGATATTCCCATTAAATGTTTATCATAAAGGGCATATGACTGCCTTGCAGGAGTAGGCCAGCAAAACTACTGCAATGTCCTTATAGGCAAACAATAAACATGTTTCTAAAGCACCTGTTTGCCCATCATTGTTGCATTTGGGGGTTGAAAGACATTTAATTTTGCCTTCCCCTTTTTTAGTGTAGTTCTTTGTTTTCTTCCAGTCTTCAATCTCTTCTGTAGTAATAGACCTTGTATTTCAATGTAGCCTGAGCTTCTTGGTCATCCCACTTATCTTGATAATTTTGCCTGAAGCTTGGATTGGGGAATGTCTTTATTTTCATTTTCCTTCTGCCTGTTTGGTTGCCAGTCAGAGATTCCAGTCGGATTTATCTTGCCCCAACCTGCTTAACTTCTGAGCAGTCAGATGTTGTACATTTGTGAATAGAAAGAATTTATCCTTCCTTTACACATCATTAAAATCTCTCTCCAAGTATTTGGATAGAACTCTTCAAACTCCCACTGAGACTGTTGATGTTGCTAAAAGTACTGAATCTTATGTTGATTGCACTAGAAAACTGTAATGTCAGTTGTTTTTCTAGGCTCTGCAGAATTTCTGCCGTGGAGATATAAATCAAATCTGGTGGCTCCAGGAGGGGTTATTAGAAAATGATTTTAAGAATTTTTTTTCTTGAGTAACCTTCCTCTATATGGAGCCTGCAGGGACTGTGCAGACAGAATTGTGAAATACTGTATTTCTAGACCTTGTCTATCTTTTCATCGCCATTCCCTGCTCACTCCAGATTTTAAACCTGAAGCTGTGTGAGGCTGAACAGCAGAGGCAACATCAGGAGGAAATGGAGCGCCTTCGGAAGGAGGAAGGCCAGGAGAGGTTGCGCCGCCTCTATTCCATCCAGGAAGAGGTGCTCCAGCTTAACCAGCAGATTGATCCCAATTACAGGCACAAAGACTTGCCAAGGATAGACTTCTCGGCATACAGTAACCGTGGTAACCAGATCTGTGGGCTCGTGTCAGGGCTCATTCGCACCACCAGTGAGGTAATGGGGCTCTAGATTTCCTCTTAACTTTGACTTCCTGTTACTTTAAAGGAAACCTTTAGAAATTTGGTAGGTCAGCTAATCATGAGGTCCAGAGATGCTGTGTAGGTACAGGAAAGCTTATTGATGCACGTCATACGCAGTGATCAATCTCAAAAGAGAGAGAATCCTTTCCTGCTACTCTTGAGATGTTCCCTTGAAAAAGGCTTATAAAAACTTACGCAGCTTTTAATGGAGAAAGGAGACTTGCTGCTAAAAATACGATAAAATATTTATGCAATATCTCTCTTTCCTTAGACAGTTTTGGAGTTGGAGTGAGTGCTTAAAGAATTATGAGCTAAATAATGTGCAGTGTTCAGCACTCGCAAGCTTTCCTACAGCCTTTAGGTTTTTTCCCACAAAAGCTTCTTTTCTCCATGTGAAATGTAGACTGATATACAAAACTTGGCTTTTATATAAAAGACCGGTTCCAATCTGGAATTTGTTGTGGACATGTTAGGCCTGCCAGTTCTCTGTTTCAGTAGGTCTAGAAACTCTTGTAATTCAGACTTTATCTGGCATTTGAATTAGCCTCTGTTCAGTGGGGTGAGAATAATCTGGATCTTTGCATAATGTGGACTTGCTATCCTAGTGTGGTGGTCTTCTTTGATATTTCCCATTCCTACTAATGAGCTTTGCCTGGTCCTGTTACTAGATCCTGTGCTGATGGCAAGTATACAAGGCTGGTTCTTTCTTAGTGTGCTAAAGAAGCTGGTATTAAACCTATGGCACTTGAATGGTTTATATTTCAGTAAACCCCTCCCTGTATGTAGAATGTGACGTTTACCTAGCTGAGGTCATTTGAGCCCAGTTTTCTCTTCTGCCCAGGGCAGGGGGTCGGACTAGAAGATCTACAAGGTCCCTTCCGACCCTACATCTATGAATCTATGGATTTGAAAGTGAAAATCTGCAGTTATTGGTACATTTCAAGTCTAGGAGACAGACGTTCTGCTTTGCCTGTTGTGCAGTTGCAGAAAATGACTAATGGTCATAAACTTGCTTCTCTTGAGTGAGGCAGACAATTGCTTGTTCTGGAAGATGCATTCTGAGCTTTCCACAGCATTGTGCTGAATGTTGCACCTTGGGCAGAGTGGACATTGTGATTTGTTATTAATATTTGCATTACCTTAAGTATGGACCACCTCCCATTGTGCTTGGCCCTATATGAACACAAAACAGCAGTCACAGTGCTTAAGACTTTACAGTGTGCATTGGGTTGGCAGCTTTTCCTCAAGTATCAGGGTGCTGTTGTTCTGGGGGCTACCTGTCATCTGGTTTTTGCATATGGGGATTAGCACTGACTTTAACTTGCCTGTTTGTTCTTTCCTGGTAGAGAGGATTCCCTTCTCCTGTAGATGTGGTCAACACTGAGCGAGTACTGCAGGAAATGCGAGGGTTAATTTCTAGCATGCAGCAGGAAATTGCTGCAGCAGTGGAAGAGAAAAAGAGGAGGGATGAAGAAGAGGAGAGAGAGAGGCAGAAAGAGCTACAGAAAAAAGAGCAGCTGAAGGCTCAGGCTCCAGTCCCTGCTCAACATCCGGGGGGGAAACAGCAGAAAGAAGGTTTGTTCATTCCCACCCCTCCTGTAAAACCTTCTCTACTTCAGTGCAATCCATTGTACTGCTAGGCTAAAAATTAATTCAGAACCATGTAGGTTGAGGGAGCATCATCAATGGGGATCCTGGCTTTCCCTGAAAAAACAGATTCTCTGATTTAAAAAAAAAATTGCAGATTCTCTGATACCTGCCTCCCAATCTGTGATTAAAATGAAAGGCCCCTTGCCCCTACCCACATCCCCTGTTAGAGGGGGCTCCCAGCTGCCAAGGCTACAGGGCCAGGGACCCAGGTCCACAGCCCCGTGTCCCCATCAGGAGGTGGCAGCTGCTGCAGCAGACCAGAACCCAGCTCCCTGCCTGCTGCCTGCTTGCTGCAGGCTTTGGCTGGGGAGGGGCTGGTTCCCCACCAATGCACACACTCCCAGGGTGCAGGGGGGACCCATGTCCTGTCAGGCTTGGGCTCCTGCCCTTCTGCCCTCCCCCAGGACCTCTGCAGCCCAGTGGGTGCAACCCAGTACTGCAGGGCAGAGTGAGGCTGCGCAGGAAAGCCGCTTGCCACTGAGTTCCACACTGCCCTGGTGAGGTGTCCCCTGCACGCACAGCAGCAGTGGGGGTGGCAGCACGGAGTTGTGACCCTCACTGCTGCTGCACGGGCAGGAGATGCGTCGCCAGAGCAGTGCGGAGCTTACAGTGGCAAGCAGCTTTCCTGTGTGGCCCTGCAGTGCTGGGTCGCACCTGCCAGGCTGCGGAGACCCCAGGAGAGGGCAGGTGAGCGGGAGCCCAAGTCCTTAGTGGGCAGCCCACCCCTGCCCCACATACAGATCTGGGAGACATGGGTCTCCCCCTGCCCTCTGGGAGTGCACGCAGCAGTGAAGAGCCACCCCCTGGACAAGCTGCCCGTGGTCCTGTCCCACTCCCCACCAGGGCCCTGCAGTCGAGCATTGGAGCCCTGGGCCCCATGCACCACCTGGCTGGGCAGCAGCCCAAACCCCAGTCCTACCCAACTCCCTCCCTCCCTCTGGGGGCCTCAATCCCCCACCCCACACTTACCTGTTGGTGACAGTGATGATGCATAAACTTGTTATGTTAAGTGAAGCAGAAGTTGCCAACCCTGGACAAATATGCAGCGTGGTGGGACAAAATGACTATGCTTGATTATGTGCCTAGATTGCTAAAGAAAGTAGCCCAAAATTCTTCACTCCAAAATTCTTCAGTCCTGCTTTTACAGTCATACAAAAATGCTGCTTGGACTGAAGTCCAGTTTCCAGAGATGAGTACTAGTCTGCAAAAGGAAGAATTTATTATAGTTTGCAATGTCTTTAGTCAAGCATCACCATAACTTTCTTAATTGGATTCTGGAGAGGAACAGAGCTGCACAGTTTCTGGGTCATGTAGGATTTGGGAGGTTCCTTTAGTTCAGACAATGTCTTATTTTCATACAGCTTCCTTAGGACTTCAAACTAAAGCTGAGGAGAGCACAATGCAGTGGTATCAGGAGCTTCAGGACACTGCTGACCAGTGTGTTTCTTCCTTCAGTGGGATTGCAGACTGCAAAGACAATCAGGTATGAGTTGTAACTGTTAACATTGGTAGGGCAGGGGTTGGCAACTTAGCTTGTGGGCTGGATCTGGCCTGCAGAGGCATTGGATCCAGTCCATGAGCATGGAGCTTCAGTGGCAGGGGACTTCAGCTGCAGGTGCTTTCCCCATGCTGCTGCAGCAATGTGGTAGCTGTGGGCAACCCCTAGCATCTGCCTACCCACCCACCTCTTATCTGGGGGGTTGTTTTGGCTTGCAGCCAGAAAAGATTGCCCACTGCTGCGCTAGGAAATCTTTCTTTCTTTCTCTGCTCCCTGCCTATTTGCCTCATGTCTGCATTTTTTAAAATACTGATATAAAGCATGGACAAACCCTATTGGTTCAGTGAAGCCTTCAGGTTTTAATAGGATTGAACCCTTGAGACAGCATAATATGAAAACAGAGGCCACTGTGTGTTCATAGCAATTTACTCTTTACTAAAGCTTCTCAGAAAACTATTTTTTTTAAATACTGCAGCAAAGACTTGAGCTGCATAAAGGCTTGACCTATGTCTGACTTCTAATTAAAAAGGGCTGTGGGAGAGCAAATCTTCTTAGATGCAGTAGACTTGATCCTGTCCTCTCTACACATTATATATGTATCTTGGGAAATCAGACACTAGATGTTCAGACTTTCCAGATGCACAGTGGTGACCACTGCAGACTGAAAGATGTGATCAATGCCTTTTCCTTTCACTTTCATGGAAGCTTCATTTGACAGTTAAGCTTCTGTTTTATGTGAAGGAGACTGGCATATTGCTGTCTCAGAATTAATTCTGCTCTCGTTGTGGGGATGTTCTTCTACATCCAGGTGATCTCTTGTTGTGGGGTTCTGGGGTTGATTTTATTCAGTGCTTTGGCCCAAGTCCCTCAAGGAGCAGGATGCCTCTGGCATTTGAATGCTCTTAACTCCTATTATAATCAATAGAAGTTGGTGACAAGTTCCTCCTTACAGAATTGGGTCCCTTGAGTAGTATCCTCTGTTGTGGTCTACCTCTTTGGTTTTGATCACGCGTTTTATTTGAAATGGTTTTGACAGCTTTTCAAATACAGGTGAAGAAGATCAAGATGGATCTCCAGAAGGCAGCCACTATCCCCGTGAGTCAAATTTCCACCATAGCAGGTAAGGAAAATGATGAGGCTCAACAGAGATACTGATACCCTATAAAGATATAAGAAGGACAGTTAGCTTATGTAGAATAGTATCTCTGCTTTGCTCTCATGCTGGAGAACTACTCTGCATGGAGTCCAGATCTTTGCCATCTGAATTCATAGTTTGGATGGACTGTTCCCCATTTCTGTGGCAAGTAACTGACTTGAGCACACCTATTAACTGGATTTAGAGCACTTCCAAGGGTTGGGGTTTGGAGGTCTTACTACTTCCCTTCAGAATATGGTGCTAACTTTGTGGTGGCTGATGTGGTCTCATTTGATTTAAGTCTTGCTTGCTGGCCACTTTCTAATCTAACATTTCCTCGTGTATTATTGATGTATTTACAGGCTCTCAGTTGAGAGAGATATTTGACAAGATCAATAACCTGCTCTCTGGGAAGTCTGTGCAATCTGGAGGGCGAATGGTATCAGTGACTCAGCATCCACAGGGCCTGGATTTTGTTTATTACAAACTGGCAGAGAAATTTGTGGTGAGGCAACTTTTTGTTAATTTAAGGTGTTGAAGGCAGCTAGTGTGTTAAGAGATTCTTTTGTAAGCTGACCTGTTTCTTTGGCTACTTAAAGCTTAACCATATAGGAACTTATCACTGATTGGTGGGCAGGAAATTGGGGGAGTGGGGGATATGCTTTTTAAACTTATGAAAAGAGGAGCCCTGCTTCCTCCTTCATGCTTTGGTTTGTGGAGCTCCTTAGGACTCCCAAGAAGTGTGTAGGAACGATGTACAGTGCCAATAAAATGTTGATTGATATTTAACTTATGGAACAACACAAACCCACGTCTGCACTCTGATTTGGTGTTCAATAACATGTAACTTGGCAAAACTGAAACATGCCTTTTAGCGTGTCAGTAAGAGCCTAACTGCAGAGTCTCCAGAATAAGCTGCCAACACCTCCAACTGAGATACTGCAGTTGTTAATATGACATTGCAGCATTTATTAAAAGTGAAGGTATTTTCTACTCTTCATTTTCAGATGGCTGAACTGTGTTGGTTCACTTTCTAATTTGGCATCCCTCTCTTGTGATGGGGCATGGATTTTATCATCATTCCCTAATCTGTGGAGCACGTGGAAGCATTAGAAGCTTTTAATAAAGGAAGGGGGTCAGTTAAAAAACAATAACAATGTTTTATCTCTGAGAATTAACTTGAAGTGGCTGTGGCATGTCTTTTTATATTTACAGAAACAAGGAGAGGAAGAAGTGGCTTCTCACCATGAAGCAGCTTTCCCAATTGCTGTGGTAGCTTCAGGAATCTGGGAGATACACCCCAGGGTGGGAGACCTCATCTTAGCTCACCTGCATAAAAAGTGTCCCTATTCTGTGCCATTTTACCCTGCATTCAAGGAGGGGACTTCAATGGAAGATTATCAACGGTAACTTCTCCATCTAAGAGGACTTAAGCAGAGCTTTGCAAGGGGGGGTAACAGGTATTGGCTGAGAAACTGAAGCTAACAGGTGGACTTTTACACACAACCCTCAAATCTAGGAGGTTTTGTATCATAGAAGGTGGTACCAGCTTAATCTAACTGAAAAAAAAAAGGAATCTCTAATTATTTTTAGAGTGGATGTAAATATTCTTCTACAATATTGCCATAGTCTTTTGAGCAAGAGCAAAAACTAAAACTTCCTGATCTTTCCAAACTGGGTGAATTGCAAAGAGTCATAATAGCATAAATGGAGAAAACTGTATGTTGAAAACTTGCTGTTATTTGTCTTGGGATGAAGCTAGTAACACGGGCATGGAGGTTTGGGTCTAGAGATTTTTTTTGCTCTTTGTCATAGGAACGTAGGACTGAAAAAGTTCTCCTGGGCCATCAAGTCCCATGTCTATGCTGTCTGTAATTTGACATTAGATTCTTTATCCCATTACTGAAGAGGCAGCCTTTGCCAGAATTCTTGCCCATTCTGGCATATCATTTGTCTTTATTCTTAACTTTGTTTTCTAATTCATAGGACACTTGGTTACCAAGTTACGGATTCTAAAGTAGAACAGCAAGATAATTTCCTTAAGCGGATGTCTGGAATGATCCGTCTTTATGCTGCTATTATTCAACTCCGGTGGCCTTATGGAAACAAACAGGGGGTATGTATGCAGGGTTTTAAAAAGCAGCACTTGGGTTCTTTAGACAGGAATAATGTGAACTAAACTTGATTTTAAAACATATTTTAATCCAGTTGTTGGGCACCTATACACGACAGACCTCTGCTCCACATGTGCTAATTAGCATGCGTCAGAGTAGACTTGATTAATCAAGTCTGCTGCAATAATTAGTGCACTCCAGCAGCCTCCGCATCACACGTATTCAATGTCCCCGCATTTCAAAATGGCAGCAGGGGTGCTTTAACTAAAGCTCATTGATTGAGCTTTAGTTAAAGCACCCCTGCTGCCATTTTGAAGCATGGGACACTGAATACACATGACACTGCAGGCACTTTAATTAGAGTGACTCTCAGAGCCACTCTTATTAAAGTGCCCCCCACCTCGACACCGAAGCATGTGTATAGACACCCATTATGAATGAAGACAAACTATGTTTAAAGGGATACTGTCATATTAAGTCTTTTTAAAATTGACCAATGAAAAGTGTCTGATAATTATCCTTTAACATTTTTTCTGGACATATTTAAAGGAATTTATTAAAAGTAAGTATACCATGTCTATGCTACAAGCACTTTACTGGTACAGGAAT